TAGCTGGAATCCCAAATGTGAGATGGTTTGGCGTTGAAGCAGACTACAATGTTCTTGTGCTGGATTTATTGGGACCGAGTCTTGAAGATTTGTTTAACTTCTGTAGTAGGAAGATGTCTTTGAAAACTGTTCTTATGCTTGCTGATCAAATGGTATGCCTTTCTTTCCTAATTGACTTATTTTCGCACAAATAGATTGAATATATCCTTGCATTTTTATATATTCACTTTCTTTATGTGATTACATGTGTTTCAGATCAACCGAGTTGAATTTATTCACTGTAAATCATTTCTGCATAGGGATATAAAGCCAGACAACTTCCTTATGGGTTTAGGGAGGCGTGCTAATCAGGTTTCATTTCTTAATTTGTTCCATTTTTCATTTCTGTTTTTTTATAGTTTTATACATAAAACATATATAAACCTACATGTTACAGGTCTATGCTATTGATTTCGGGCTAGCCAAGAAATATAGAGACTCTTCAACTCATCGGCACATTCCATATAGGTGAGTGAATTTTTTTTTAAACTTCCAGCAGCAATCTTTTTTTCATAAAAAAGTGACCTCTAATCAATCCATATTTTATATCTTATAAAATGCAGAGAGAACAAGAATTTGACAGGGACAGCTAGATATGCAAGCATGAATACTCACCTTGGAATTGGTAAGCTTTTTTATGGTGCCCAAAAATTCAAAAATATGAACAAAAATTTATCATTCTTACATGTTAATGTGTGTTTTGCTTAGAACAAAGCCGAAGAGACGATTTGGAATCACTTGGATATGTACTCATGTACTTCTTAAGAGGAAGGTAGAACACCCTTTTGCCAATTTCATCTTATCTTCATATAATATCAACCTACTTCCCCTTCAATTCTAATTTGGTTACTAGACTTAAAACCGAATTTTAAAACCATTCAACTTATAATAAACCATCTTCACAGAAATCATTATGTAAAGTATGTTGTTATTTATTTCAATCTCCTCTTCAATTTTTTGATGCATAATCTGATTTACATGTTTTGGACATCGTTAGTCTCCCATGGCAGGGACTGAAAGCTGGGAACAAGAAACAAAAATATGAAAAGATTTGTGAGAAGAAAGTTTCCACTTCTATTGAGGTAAACAGTAAGCTAGTTTTCATTGTATGCCATAAAATTCACAAAGTTAATTTTTTTTGCAGTCTTTATGTCAGGGATACCCTTCAGAGTTTGCATCTTACTTCCATTATTGTCGATCTTTAAGATTTGATGACAGGCCCGATTATCCATACTTGAAGAGACTCTTCCGTGAGCTTTTCATTCGTGAAGGTCAACTTACCCTACCTTTTTCTTATTAGGACATTGTAAAAAACAAGCAAAAAGAAATTGTTGCATTTATTTTCAGGTTTTCAGTTTGATTACATTTTTGATTGGACTATTTTGAAGTATCAGCAATCACAGCTTTCGAATCCTCCATCCCGTGCTCTTGTAAGCTGTGTTTACTTGAACAACATGATGCTTTTTATTTTATTTTCTTATACCATTACCCATAATAATATCAATGTACTTTTTGTGAATCAGGGTGCAGGAACAAGTTCTGGTATCCCTCCCATGGCTGCCAACCCAAATAGGCTCACAGGTCAGTCTTTTCAGGAACTAGCAACATATTTTATTCTTTTTACCAATACAAACAGTCTACTTTATCAGTTTAACCTATATTTATTTTTTTAGGTGGTGAAGAAGGTGGTGGTAGTAGGGGTTGGTCCTCTTCCCGGCCTAGAAATACATTGAATTCTGGAACCCTCACCCTATCCAATTCTAGACAAAAAAATCCAGTTTCCACTGATCAATCCACCAGTAGAGAGGTACCTAACTACACACAATCACACAACACAACACATTATTTTCTTACAAAAATTTCTTACTTTTTTTTTTGTTACAGTTAACAAGTAGTAATATTTTGCAATCGAGTGGATCTTCAAGGCGGCCTACTGATGCAGTGCTTGGTAGGGTGGCAAGTAGCAGCGGTCGAAGGAGCTTCCCTGTTGTTTCATCCGATCAAAGACGCTCGACTCCCAGTAGAAATGCAAATGCAAACAACTTTGACTCAACTCTCAAAGGTATTGAGGGTTTGCATTTTTAGCATTCAAACTTCAAACTTGGTTTTTATGTAAGTAAGTAAATTTCACCTTTTTTTTCAAATGTGTAGTTTACTATTACCGTATTACGTCTTTGTCTTTTATTAGAGTGAGTGAGTGCCTGCCTAATAATTATAATTAAATAAATAATCAAGACTAGAGATAATAGAGATTATAGAGCCAGTCTTCGGGAACTGTTCATGAAAACCCGGATGGATATGTTTTTGTTTCTGGATACCTACCGTTAACTTTCTTATTTTATTACTCATTCGACTCTTGTGCTGCTTTTTTTTTTTTTTTTTTTTTTTTATGTTGAATCATTAAGAGGCATCAACCATTTAATGCTGTTGAATGAACGAAATTACAATTTTACCCGTCTAATAAGAACATATATAAAATTGACAAGTTCTAAAATCTAATGATATATATATATATATATATATATATATATATATATATATATATATATATATATTTTTTTTGCTAAATTCAAATATTCATCAAATACATATTTTTTGGGAAAGATGGTACAACCTCTGACAGTTTATTTATTCATAAAAACCATTTACAAGGAAAGGGAAGAACAATTACAACTTAGAACCAACAAATAAACACACATCTAGAATCCAACCCAAATATCAAACAAATACCACACAAATATAGTATGGTGGTGGGAGATGGAAGTCGTTGGAATTTAATGATAGTGTGGTGGTGGTGGATGTCGGTGGTGATGTCCTTTGAATGTTCAATGTCATATGGACTACACATGTGGTCATGAAATATGTCATATACACGACACATTGGCAACAATAGCATGTGGAGAACTTGGTAACCTGTTAATAAGGTTATCTTCCCTTGCTAGCTGGTCATTTTTTAATTTTTAGTTTATATTCTCATAATGCATAAAAACTAGTTCAGGGATCTTTTAAGTTTTTTTTTTTTTTTTTTTTTTTACAAAATCTTATTAGATTCTAATGAAATTAACCCCGTTGGTTTATTCAAAATATATAAATTGTTTTTTTACAGTTATCAACCTATAATAGGTTTTTTTTTCTAACATTTGTTGTTTTTCTTATTTTTCATCATCACTTTTGTGTTGGTTGTTGATTGCGACACTTCATGTTTATTTGATGTATATGACATATATAACTATTAGAATAGCTATAGGATCGACCATAAAAACGTGTTCATAAAATTAGTTTAAACGGTTGAATTTGTTTATCTGATTATCAAAAGTTAAATAATCGGTTTTGTGTCATGTCACATTGATAGCAAAAAAATTGAATATAAAAATCTGAATTGATATCCTTTCATTTACAACTAGGAAAAGGACCCATACTTCGCATGGGTCGGAAAGGTTTTTTCAGATGAAAAAATAAAACTAAAGTGACAAAAATATGAATTGGAAAAGGTTAAGGCAAAAGTGTAAGGAAATAAAAGTAATGTGGCAAAAGTATGAATAGGAAAAGTTAAAAGTGGCATTGGAAAAGGTTAAGGCAAAAGTGTAAGGAAATAAAAGTAAAGTGGCAAAAGTATGAATAGGAAAAGTTAAAAGTGGCAAAAGTATGAATTGGAAAAGGTTAAGAAAAAAAGTGTGAGAAATAAAAGTAAAGTGGCAAAAGTATGAATTGGAAAATGTTAAGGCAAAAATGTAAACAAATAAAAGTAAAGTGTCAAAAATATGAATTGAAAAAAGTTACTGTTAAAACTATATGTGTGCTTTAATATATATATATATATATATATATATATATATATATATATATATATATATATATATATTCAAATGTTTCTCACATCTATTGTATGCTAGAATGCAGCAATAGGAATTTAGTATTAATTATATATATATTAAATGTTATCCATACTTATAACTCATTTTTATAGAAGCTATTTAAATTCGTCATTAATGTCAACAATAATATTCTTTCAGAATGAATTCATATATAGAAAAAAGAGAGTGTATTCCAGCGGAATGAGAGTGTATTCTAATAGAATACATTCTCGTTCTTCATATTCCATGCAACTTTATTGTATTTTAAGTGTGTGAGTACTGAAACAAAATACGAATTCATATATAAAAACTAGATGCGAATTCATTCTGAAAGAATGTTATTGTTAACATTAATGACGGCTTTAATTAGTTTCCATAAAAAGAGAATTATAATTATGGATATCATTTAATATACATATAATTATGGAAATCATTTAATATCTATATTTATTTAATTAAATAATTATTTAATTTACTAAATTTCTATTGGTGCATTCTAGCACACGATAAATGTAATAAACAAAATAACCTAGCCCTATATATATATATATATATATATATATATATATATATATATATATATATATATATATATATATATCTATATATATATATATATATATATATATATGCTTATCCTTTTTATTAAGAATGTCATTTTTAAATAATTATAATTTTATCGACTACTTATCTTATTATTACATTTGCAAAGAACAAACTATATTCAAATATAAGGTTTCTTAACTCTTAACTCTTAACTCATTTCATAACTGATTATTTGATTATGATTATTGACATCATATAATTATTTTCAAAACTTAGACGTTTTCATGTTTGTTATATTGAGATCCAAATCTTTTTGGTAAATTATTGTCAGTCATTTAAAGAATCCTCTCAACTACCATGTACCAAACACACAAATACAATGATAAAAAAAAATCAAAATCATCAAAGATCAACAGAGATACATACTTATTGATATTACATCATAAATCTTTGTTAATTAAACCAAGTAATATTGTATACAATTATACGCTCAAATCTTTTCTTTGCTTTTCCAATAATTTTGGAGCAAAATGACGAAAATGCCCAAAGAAATCGATAGATTCATCTATAGCCATAGACAAGTTGGGTGTAAGTCTGTCTGATCCACACAAAACTTTTCTTGAAAGACCCTTTTACCTTGCTCTCTATAGAGTAAACATTATAGGCAGCAACCCTCTTCTTCCTTTGCAACTCTGGATCATCAATACTCAATTTCTTTAAATTTGAAACATGTTTCTTAATGTTTTGGTTTGAAGTTGAGTAACTCCTCATATTCTTCATATTGCTGGGAAACTCTTCATTGTTGCTCTTAATCTCCATCATGCCACCATCTCGACACGATTGGGATCTATATTTTTCCATCTCTATGTGTATATTTGTTTAGGTGAGATAAAGAAACATATATTACTTCAAAGATTTGCTACATATTGGCAACCATGAGAAGCTATATATGGATGGAAAAAGGTGAAATAATGTAAGCTTGGGTTGTCAAATAATTTCGAAGTCGTGAATTTGAATAAGATATTACTAAAACTTTAAGAGCCAAACATGGGTAAACTTTATATGTTTAATTGGTTAATGGAACTTGGCCTTTGCCTTTTGGCTTTTTTGTAGTGCAAAAGGTCTTTCGGAAGTAGGAGTTGTATTTTGAATTCCACTTAAAGTTGAATTACACATGGTGATGTCGAATTGTGAGCTTTTGACCTTTCAAGTTGGCATATATATTTGAATATTCAAACAGTGTTGTTGCTAATGAATTAATAATAGAGTATTTAGAGAAATAATTTATTTATATAGAAAGGCCGACTTTAATTAATTGGTGTAATATATATATATATATATATATATATATATATATATATATATATATATATTACACCAATTAATTAAAGTCGGCCTTTCTATATAAATAAATTATTTCTATATATATATATATATATATATATATATATATATATGATGACGTGCCTAAGTCGGCACGGAAAAGTCACGCCTGGCCAAAATACCTGGCACCCCGGCCGAGCCAAAAGGAGTGGGCTCAGTGCTCGACAACGCCCCTAAGAGCAGGGCGCCCCGGCAAAAGGCTCGCGTCCGCCAGTGACGCTCCCAGTATCAAGACAAAGGATACGGTCAAGCGACAAGGCAGAGGGTCAGAGCATTACCGCTGGAGCCAATGGCAGTACTCTGACATAAAGAGGCGCACAATCCTCCAATCAGCACCTCTGACCTTGTCCCCTAAAAGCGACCCTGTCTCGTACGGACGAGCAGGATCGCTAGGTATAAAAGGGCGCACTCAGGAGCCCTAAAGGTAAGCAATCTTCTCTAAGAGCAATCCATCTTCTAAGAACCCCATCTAACTTGACCGTCGGAGCGTTCTTCCGGGAGCCTCCTCCCGGGAAACGGCTGACGGCTGTTCTTTCGTGTGGCCTTGCAGATACCTTCTAACATTAGATCGGAGAGCCCAGAAGAAGGTCGAGGTCGAGGTCGCATCATTTGGCGCCATCCGTTTTGTGTGACGAAGAACGAAGTAAAAACCACTGTTTCATCAAAATCAATGGCGTCTGACGGTGGTGACGGCGTTGAGGGAATACAGAACAGCCCTATACGCTCGATGACACCGTTGGACGACGTACCGCCACCCATAACGGCCACCGATGAACCCACCGGCGAAGGAAGCTCTATGCTAACTACAACGCCCCGATAACCCAGCAGCTAGCTCAACCACCCTTTTCGCTGCAAACAACGAGCATAGAGGCCATCACCCAAACGCCATTCCGACAATCAACGCCACTTATGGGGACGGTACCACTCGCTACACCTTTGCAAACGCCGTTAACATTCCAGCCAACAGCGACACAACTCTCAGTAAACCAAACATCCAACCGCCACTCCACGTGTCACCACAGAGCCAGATACCGACGAGCACACCCCTGATGCTCCTGCCGTTCGCGCAAACCATGGTAGCACCACCATCGTTGCCTCACCTCTTGACAGGCACATGGGGTGCGCCTATAGTGACCACCCACACAAGTCAACAGCAGCCCACACCAACGCAATCCTTGGCTCAACCTCAACTTACACACCCGGGATACTCGCTGCAGTTTCCGTTCCAACAATAGGCCTTCTATGGTCCTAACCCAGGGTACCAAGCGTTCTAAGGTCACCCAGGGGCACAACCGTACAACACGACCCACCAGTATAATGTGCAGGGCCCGCTAACCATCCCCCATCAAGACTGTTGTCACGAAGCATCACATCTCCGTTTGCCAAGGAACTACTGGATTACGAGATTCCAAACACAGCAAAGCTCCCCAACTTGAAAACTTACAATGGCACCACCGATCCGGACAGTCATATCGACACATATGAATGGACAATGACGTCGCTAAAGCTAGACGAACGTTTCTAGTGCACATATTTCCCAACGACGCTAGATGGAAATACAGGCACATGGTTCAAGACGCTGCCCCCAGGTAGCATTTACAACTTTGGCCAACTAAAATATATTTTCCTCACCAACTTCATGCAACTGCGAAAGTACAAAGGCGACTCCCATTCCATCATCGGATGTAAACAAAAGGAAGGGGAAAGCTTAAGAGAGTACTTCACACGGTTTACAAACGCCACATTAGACGTACCGGGTCATGACGAGGGCCTTATAGCAGGAGCTTTCACGTGGGGACTCCTCCCCGGCCCTCTGTCACATAAACTCATGGGCAAAAAACCACAGACAAGAGCTGAGCTAAAGGAAAGAGTGGAAAGATATTTAAGACAGGAGGAAGGTGAAGCAGCAAAGCAAGCATACTTAAACGCCATGGCCATTAAGCGTTCTAACCCAACCTACACAGAAACATCTGGGGGAAGCAGGCACTTAGGACAGGGTCACTTCGGACGAGGAAAGAGATCACTGGGTCGCTTCAGGCCGTTTGTCAAGGACGACAGACGGGGTCGTCGTCCAGACGTATACGTGGTCGCGGACAAGCAGCAAGAGAGAGCACCGAAAGGACGGTACTGCGAGTACCACAAAATCAGGACACACGACACTACCAATTGCTCGGTCCTTAAAAAAGAAATGGAGGAGAAAAAGCTCAAGGGAGATCTCGTAGAGATAGCACGCAACCTGCGCGCCAAGTTTGACGCAGAAAACGCCAAAGGAGCTTCGAAAGAAGGCACTCAGCCCAAAGAAATATTCATGATACGAGCCAAGAGAAGCAGACACGAGGGAACTGCACACCAGGAGAACCTAACGCCCATGACACAAGAGCTCACATTCTCAGCGCAGGATCCCAGGCCCGAAGGTTGGACAGGTGATAACCCTCTCATAATACAGGCTTCTATTAAAGACGTGGTCATACACAGAGTGTATATCGACACAGGTAGCTCCGCAGACATCATCTACGAGCATTGCTTCCGTCTCCTCCCAGACATGTGGAAGGACGGCCTGAGACCTACAATGGGAAGGTTGGTCGGATTCACGGGGCACAGCGTATGGCCGCTAGGGATGATCCACCTCCCCCTTACACTGACTAGTCATGACAAGCAACGAAGGAAAACAGTCCTGGTCGATTTCGTTGTGATCCGACATTCAGCAGAACATAATATCATTCTGGGAAGGCCAGCCTTGCTAAAATGAGGCGCGATTCCGTCCACAATACACGGGATAGTGAAGTTCAACACTAGCGGAGGTCCGACCACAATCCTGGCCACACCACCAAGACAACTGCAGTGCTTTACGATCATGCAACCAGCCGAGATAACAAGAGAAACCAAAAAAGCTCGGGGTGAATCGGCATACGAGAAAGAGGTGGTCAACGAAGGACACCCTGATCAGACAATCAATATCGGTCGCAATCTTCCAGGGCACACCAGGCGGGCACTTGTCGATCTCCTCCAGCGATACAAGCACATTTTTGTGTGGACTCCCACAGATATGGTAGGAGTAGACCGGAAAATCATTGAACATAAACTCATGATTAAACCGGGTACAAAGGAAGTTAAACAGAAAAAGAGGGTTCAGGGAGGAGATCGCAATAGGGCAGTCAATGCGGAGGTGGCCAAGCTGACGAAGGCGAGGATTCTGAGGGAAGCAGTTTTCCCAACTTGGATAGCCAATCCTGTCATGGTGCGAAACCATGACGGATCATGGCGCATGTGCATCGACTTCTCCGACCTTAACAAGGCATGCCCTAAAGCCTGCTACCCCCTCCCGAAGATTGACCAGAAGGTAGAATCACTACAAGGTTTCAAATTAAAATGTTTTATGGATGCGTATAAAGGGTATCACCAGATCCTGATGAGTAAGGACGACGAAGAGAAAATAGCTTTCTACACCGACCATGACACATTTTGCTACACCAAAATGCCTTTTGGTTTGAAAAACGCGGGGGCAACATACCAACGGCTGGTCGACTCCATGTTCTCAAGCCAGATTGGGAGAACATTGAAGTGTATGTCGACGATATGGTTATTAAAAGTGAGGACGAGGAAAAGATGTTGCAGGATATTGAAGAAACTTTCAAAACATTGGAGAAAGCAAAGATGAAGCTAAACCCGAACAAGTGCACGTTTGGAGTGGAAGAAGGTCAGTTCCTAGGATACTATGTTACCAGACAAGGCATCCAGCCCAACCCAACAAAGGTGGACGAGTTCATGCAAACACCACCTCCAAGTACCCTAAGGGACGCGCAAGGCCTGAATGGGAAAATCACGGCGCTCAGTAGGTTCATCTCAAAGTCAGCGGAAAAGGCTATGCCGCTATTCAACACGTTGAAAGGCTGTATCGAGAAAAGTAACTTCCAGTGGACAACGGCGGCAGAGGTAGCACTCCAAGGAATCAAGGAAGCTTTACACAAACTACCAACGTTAGCTAGCCCCATTCCGGGTGAGATATTGCAGGTATACCTCTCGACTTCAGCCGAAGCCATATCCTCTGTACTAGTTGTGGAAAGAGAAGGGGAACAGAAGCCAGTGTACTTCATGAGCAGAGCATTACAAGGCCCTGAACTTAACTATCCCACCCTAGAAAAGCTGCTGCTAGCACTGATCTATGCTGCGAGACGGTTGAGACGGTATTTTCAGGCCCACCAAATAGAGGTCCTGACAAATTGCCCAATTAAACAAATCCTGCTAAAGCCCGAAACCTCAGGAAGACTCGCAAAATGGGCGATCGAACTGGGCGAACATGATATTAGCTACCGACCAAGGACAAGCATCAAAGGGCATGCGCTGGCAGATTTTCTACTCGAAGTCCCGGGGGAGGGAGATGTAATCAAAGAAGGAATCATGACAGTAAAAGAAATTCCAGAGGGAAATAGAAAATGGACGTTGTATACCGATGGGGCATCCAGCAGGGAGGGCTCAGG